ACCTTTTTGAAGTTGTATATGGTTTATCTGCATTTGTGAATTTGAAGATTAGTTGGTTCTTAAAGGTGTTTAAACTTTTATGCACGTAGGGTGCTCCTAAAATTGGATTTTCGTTTGAAGTATAAATTGTTATTGTGTCAGAATTATTTTCCTCTGGTGGACTTGTCTTCCTTGAAGTTGATGGAATTTCCGCAACAACCTCTGGTGCATTTTCTTTCAATTTGAGCGTATCGTTTTCTCTGTTAGGTGGTCTGATTTGGATATCTGATATAATGTTGATTTTTGGTTTTCGTTTTACCTTTTTTGGTGAATCAAGCAATTTTTCTTGAGACTCGAAGAAGTGTTTTTTCTTATCAATCCATGTGTGTGGATCCATGTCTCGTTTTTCGTTGTCGTTGCAAACAGCTTACATATGTGTCAAGGGTGGTTTTGCTTCTATTGGGTGGATTTCTTTTGGAGGTCTTGACAATGCATCTGCATTTGCATTTTGAGTTCCTTTCTTGTAGTGAATTGTATATTCATATTCCTGAAGTTTGAGTCTCCATCGAACTAATTTAGAGTTTGGTTCTTTTATCGAAAACAACCATTGTAAAGGTTTATGATCCGTTACGATGCTAAATTTTCTGCCAAATAGGTATGGTCTAAAATACTTTGTTGCCCCTACAATTGCTAATAATTCTTTTTCGATTGTTGAATAGTTGCATTCAGCGGGATTGAGTGTTCGGCTGGCGTATGCAATTGGGAGGTCATTTCCTATTGTTCCTTGTGAGAGAACTGCGCCAATAGCATAATCTGATGCATCAGTGGTTAGAATAAATGGTTTTGCAAAGTCTGGGTACTGTAGAATAGGTTCATTCATCAGAATATTTTTAACAGAGATTGAAAGCGTTAACAAATGGTTTGTTATGGATTATCTTAGTGTTTTTCTTGAGACAATGGGTTAATGGTTTAGCTATCTTTGCAAAGCTTTTAATACATTTACGATAGTATCCTACAAGGCCTAGAAAAGATTTGATTTCCTTTGGAGTGTTAGGAATTTTGAAATTTTTTATTGTTTCAATCTTTCGTGGATTTGGTTTAATTCCTTCGGGCGTTATGACGTGTCCTAGGAATTCAACGGTTTTTCGCATGAATTCTGATTTATCCAATTGTATTTTCATGTTGAAAGAAATTAGTCTTTCAAAAACTTGTTTTAGAGAATTTAGATGTTCTTGCAGACTGGTTGAATAGATGATGATGTCATCCATATAGACGAGGCAGTTTTTTCCATGAAGTCCTCTGAGCACGTGATCCATTGTTCTTTGAAATGTAGATGGTGCGTTCTTCAGTCCAAATGGCATTCTGGTAAATTCGTAATGTCCATTTTCTACGTTGAATGCAGTTTTTTGGATACTCTTCGGATCCATTTCAATTTGGTGAAATCCGTTTGCAAGGTCTAACGTGGTGAAATATTGACAACGTCCCAGTTTGTCCAATATATCCGATATATTTGGTATTGGATATCTGTCGTCGATTGTTTTTTCCTTTAGCTTCCGGTAATCGATCACCAATCTCCATTTTTGTTTTTGTGAGGCGTCCAGCTTTTTTGGAACTATCCAGACTGGTGAACTCCAGGGTGAATTGGAAGGTCTAATTATATTTGATTCTAACATTTCATAAATTTGTTTATTCACTTCATTTTTATGAACATACGGGTACCTGTAGCTTTTCGTATGCACTGGAATTTCGTCGGATGTGTTGATTATATGTTTTACGTCGTTGGTGAACGTTAAGGGGT